GAGGGCTGGGGCCCCAGTGTCGCCCTGCTCAGCCCACGGGGCTGGTTCCCCCTCCCCCTTCCCAGCCCAGGAAGGGACCCTGGAGGGGCGTTTGCCCAAGAACCACAGGGAGCCGGACGCAAGTCTTCTCCGAGGCGGAATAATTTACTGCAGTGCACGGTACTGTGCGTGGGGGCAGCAGGGCTGGGGTGCCGGGCTGGGGCCACTGGGGGATGTGGGGAGGCACTTGTGGGGCTGCTTTCGAGGGGTTTGGGGGTGAACCTGCCTTGCTCTGGCCAGCGTGGGCTGTGCAGGGCAGGGGGGAGAGGGGTTTCTGTGGATCTGCGCCCTGCGCTGTCTGCAGGGGCTCAGGCCCAGCCCCGCGGCTGAGGGGACCGGGGCTGCGCGTCCCTGGGCTGTCCTCAGGAGAGCTGTGGCAGGGGGACATGGGATGCTCAGGGGGCTGGAGTGGGAATATGGGAAGGCTGAGGGGTTGGGGCATGACGTCGGGATGCAGGGCAGGGGAGCCGGTGTGCCAGGCAGGGGTGTCGGGGCAGCCAAGAGTCTCTGGTGCAGAGCTGGGCTCTCAAGGATGTGGTTCAAGGGTCCTGGGAGCAGCCAAAGCTCCTGGTTGTGGGCAGGGGTCCCAAGGGTGCAGAGCAGGGCTCTCAGGTGTGGCCAGGGTGCAGATCTAGGCTCCCACGAACGCAGCTGGGAATCCCAGGGGTGAAGAGCAGGGGTCCCAGGGGTGCAGCCAGGGGTCCTAGATGCAACCAAGGGTCCTGGGGGTGCAGAGCAGGGTCGGTGCTCTGGACCCATTGGTGAGGGCAGGAGTCCTGGGACGAGGCAGGCAGGGCTCTAGCGCTGCCCGGCCCCGTAGAGCAGGGGATGGTACAGCGGGCAGGGGTAGGAGAACATGAACTTGACGGCGAACTTCATCTCCTTGTTGTGCTTCTGCCAGGGGTAGATGGCGAGGAGGAGCAGGCGCCCGCCCACCTTGCGGCCCATCACCAGGAAGCTGCCGCTGAGGCTGTTGAGCTGGGGGCAGGGGCAGGTGCCCGCGTTCCTCATGTGCAGCACCATCTTCTTGGTGTCCTTGCGCTTGAGCGGGCCCAGCTTCAGCACCTTCTTCTTCTGGGCGGCCACGAGGCGCCGTTCCCCGTTCTCCTCCGTCACCTCCTTGATGCGCATCTTCACCACTGTGGGACAGCCATGGGGTACTGCCCTGGGGCACTGCTGGGGACACTGCTGGGGGCATACTGCCAGGGGGTGCTGTGGGGTTAGTGCCAGGGGCCTCTGCAGGACAGGGTGCAATCAGTCCCTTTGTGGGGGGGTCTCAGGGGAAGATGGAGAGGGGAAGAGGCTGCTGGGGGGCAGAAGAGGCCCCCAGTGACCCTCCCAAATGTCCAGTTCTGCTTATCCCACCCGACGTCCTGTGCTGCCCCTCGTCTCCCACCCTCAGGGTTCAAGGGGACGGCTGAGGCGTTCCCATGGGGCTGTCCCTGGACAACAGTGTCCCTGCTTCTCTGGCCATCCCTCCCCATCTGAGCAGCTTTGGGGGCTAGTTGAGCTATCAGAAGTCCCCTCATCCCCAGGGCCAGTCCGGGGACCCCAGCACTCACCGAAGTCACTGGAGCACATCTGCTCCATCATGCCGTCCGCCTTGTGCTCCATCTCGCACTGGGTGCAGATCTTGGACACTGCGGGGAGAGATCAGCCAGCGTCACTGCTGCCCCACTGCCGAGCTCGGTCACCGGGGCCAGCTCAGCAGGGACACACCAGGAGTGGTGCTGGCACCCCTCTGCTCCCTGAGGGGCTGTGCCAGGGTGATGCTGGGGGACGCGGAGCACCTTGCCGGCTGGCATCCCCATGCCTGCCCCTGGCAGGGTATGGGGACATCCCCGTCCGGCTGCTGACACGCCAGGGCAAGCAGCGGCAGCGAAGGAGGCACCAGGCTGAAGAGTGTCACGACCCTCAGTGCCCGGTCCTGACCCTGGCCCTGAGCTGCCCTTGGGCAATATGTCCCTTGCCCCGGGGCGGGCACCCACCCGAGGGGCCAGCCACCCTGCGGCAGGCAGCG